TGTGCTTGCCAGGCAGGTGCTGTGCTGCTGAGCTATCTTCCTGGCAAGATGTATATATCCTAAATTGTGCCTTTCTTACCAGAAATGGGGAAAGTTACTCCCAAGGAAGGTGGGCAGTGTTGGGCTGGTGCTTGGCTTTCCACCTCCTCACCACCAGGCAGCATCTATGGTTGTACTTCTCTGTGCATCGGTTCCAGTCTGAGGAAGTGCTTGGTGGATCTCTCCTGCCGGGCACCATAGTTTACATAGGTTATTATTTGATATAGATATTTTTATGAAAAATGTGCTTTTGTTGTCTCAGGTGAGCCTGACTCTAGGGTCCTGGCCCACATAGGAGATGATGATATTACAATAAGGATAAACACAGATGGTGCAGAGTATAACATAGAGGTAAGTGTGTTTGCACTGCATGTTTTCCAGTAGCTTAGCCACAACTCTTCAAATTTTTAGTTACCTTCAAAATCTCCTTCACAAATTTATTTATTGGCTTTCCAGTTCAGGATCCAGTTAAGCTCTTGGCTTTTATTGAAATCAAGTGATTTTTTTCCCCCAAATAACTTAGTAGTAGTTGTGGTAATAGGATTAGCTCTCACTAGTGTGATGACTGCTTTCTGATTGAAATCTCAGCATGCAGCCAGGTAGTCAAGGTTGATGCTGATGTGCCTTACCTCTGAGGGAGGTCTGACATGCAGGAGAGCTCATCCAGGCTACAGTGGGCAAAGGTACACTTGAAACTCAGGTATCTGAGTCCAGACCCGCTGTCTCTTTCTGTGTCAGTTTGAGAGTACCAGAAACTCTGTAAATTTTGTAATATTTGATCCAAAAGGGAAGAAAATCACCTCCACTCTCCTCACCCAGTGAGCTTTATGGAAAATTCCTACAGCTCAGGAGTGTGTTACTTTCTGAAGTTTCGGCTAGCCCAGAGATTCTGTTAGCCAGTGTTCCTTTATCTCTTTCATGTGGATTTGGAAAGAAGATAACACACATAATGTTACCACTGTGATGGTATGGAAGCAATAGCTAGCTTTCTTTTATTTTTCATTTTGAGACAGGGTATTATTCAGTTGCCAGAGCTGGACTTGAACCTGGGATCCCTCTGCCTCAGCCTCCTAAACAGCTGAGATTATGGGTGTGCAGCACTGTACTCAGCCTTGTCTAGTTTTTATTGTACTATCATAGTGCCAGTATACAGTAGGCATTATATAAATGTTTTTAAATGAATTCATGGAAAAAGGCATTTTTCTTTTCTGAATATTCTGAATGATTTCTTCATGCCAAGTGATGCTTTTTTCATATATAGATAAAAACATGAGTGTGCCATCTGTGAATTAACCTGCCAGAATAGAAAAAAACCCTTATGATAAAAATGGAAATAACGTACTTTGGATAGAATATCTCATTATTTTACAGAAGAAGAACTGAATGTTGTTTAAGGATAAGGAAAGAAGTCATAAGGACTTTTTAGGAGTTCTTACTTTTTTCATCTCATCATACATATTTTATGTTTTAGCCACTTTGGAGATTTGTTAATGATACTAAAGACAAAAGAATGCTAGCTTACAGATCTGAAGACATCAAGAATGTTTCGCGCTTGCAGTCTCCCAAAGTGTGTGGTTATGTGAAAGTGGATGACGGGGAGCTGATCCCAAAAGGGCTGATAGACAGAGAGCTGCCTGAAGGTGAGTCGCAAAAGCTGAATTTCTAGAGAGGGACAGCATATTGCAGCTGACTCCAGTGGAAGTCAGTTGGTTAAAAAAGAAAAATAACATGATTATTAAGTAACTGTAATATTTCGTTTGAAGTTTTCTTCCAGAAACTCTTTTAATTATTGTTATGTAAGATTTTGTATTAAACACTAATAAAATAATGAGAGCGGTAATAATTGGACTAAAAAAGACAGTGGGAAAATTGAATCATCCGAGGGAAAATTTTTTACTAGCAGGTATTTAGAGGTGTCAGTAATACTGTTAGTTGGTCTTCAAAGCTTATAAGGAATAATTCAAGTAGTAAGAGAGCTGTACTGTTTGGCTATAGAAACGTTATCCATTTTGGGATAGATCTATTTAGAGTCATTTAGAAAATAACTATTGTGGAGGCATAGCCTACTGTCATTATTTTCAAATTTGTTTCTAGGGAGCCAGGATGGTACTCTGTTAGACGCAGACCTCAAACTCCCAGGCTCAGGTGATTCTCCTGCCTTCCGTCTTCTGAGTAGCCAGGACCAGGACCAGGCCCAGGCCCAGGGGTGTGTGCCACTTGCTTAGCTTTTGCTGTCCTCATTCTTAATGACCTCAGAAAGTAATACTAGTGTAGATGAATAAGTTGGTAAATAGTTTCATAATTTTACTTAATAAGAAAATTGCCAGGGCTTAATGATGGATCACTAGCCTGGTGGGGCTAAGCTTCTTGGTTTGATCTCCAGAACTGAAGACAGTGGAAGATGCCCTAGTAACATTGAGCAGTTGTTCTGCTTCTGTTTGTTGCAGAAATAGGTTTGTCAGATTGTGCACAGTTCCACAGAGAAGCATGTGGTTGGTTCTGCTGTTGCTGCTTGGTGGCGTTCCCAGCCTGGCAGCAGAGCCACATGCACAGAGGTGTAGCTCTGCCTTTCCATGTGGCCGTGTGGGTGGTTATGTGCACTTCTGTCACTTCTGTAGTGACATGTGGGCCTGAGGAAGGCAGTTGCCCCACTGCATGGAGGTTGGGGTGCCTCCAAGCCAGGGTTGCCGATCTTCATGGCCCCTTACTTTGGTTTTTACTGATGCTGATTATTTGTAGAGTTCTAGGAGTAAGTGACTCAGGGTGTCATAGCCAAGTAATAGACAATTGTTTACTCTGTTAAGTACTTTTCTGTGGTTCTTTTTTGCAGTTCTTGGAATAGAACCCAGGGCTTCACTTGTTTGGCTAGTGCTCTAGATGTCCTTAGACCCCTTTTGAGCTCTTTGGTGCTTTTTTTTTTTGGTGCTGGGGTATGAACCTTGGTCTTTGAGTGTGTTCTCTAGTCTAGTACTCTACCACTGAGCCACACCTCAGCCCCTTCTGCTTTGAGAGAGGGTCTTTTACATTGCCTCAAAATTGCCATCATCTGGTGTCAACCTCCTGCTATTCCCTGCAAATTATTTTCTTTCAAGATACCTATTGAGTCTGGGCATGGTGACATACATCTGTAATCCTAGCACCCAGAAGTCTGAGGCAGGAGAATCATTGCTAGTTTGAGATCAGCCTGGGCTACAAAGTGAGCTCAAGGCCAGCCTGAACTGCATAGTGAGAAGGAAAAAAGAAAACTGTTTGAGGATACTAAACTCAAGTAATGTTTATTTCAGAACTCCACTAGATATAGTGTTACTATAAAAAGCCCTCTGTGTCTTGGTGAATTTTGATTTAATAGTGCATACAAATTAATATTAGAGTTTGTCCATCGGGTGAAGCGAAGAGCTGATCCAAATCCCATGAAGAACACGTGCAAACTCCTGGTGGTTGCAGATCATCGCTTTTACAAGTACATGGGCCGAGGGGAAGAGAGCACCACAACCAATTACCTGGTGAGCACCTGGGAAGGAAGGGGGACTAGCGCCCTGAGATCTGTGCTTGGCACACTTCAGTGGCCCTGTGCCTGAGGCCTTGTGGCTCCTCTGTCTCTCCACAGCCGTGTGGCAATGATAGTCTCAGGTTAGGAAAGCCTTATTTCACAGTGGAGCTAGTATTTTCTACAGAATAGGATTTTTATGTTAGGTTTGGGGAAGTTCATAATGTAGCCCTTTGTTTATACAAATGAGCTCTGCAAAAACATCAGTTTATAGGAACCATGAGCTTATGGTATCACACTTATAGACTTATTTGAACCCATGTGTGCTTTTCTGCATATGTTTCAGGGAAGATCCATTTTTTTTTTTTATTTGTTTTTGGTACTGGGAATTAAACTCATGACCTTTGGCTTTGTGCTTCTGAGCTACATCCCCAGCTAGAAGGTCAGTGATCCATGTCCTGTTAAAGAGGTGGTCATAGGTGTCTGCATGATTTTGGTCGTACTCAGTAACTCCAGTGCAGAGAAAGAGAGGCTAGAAAAGTGTAGACAGTAGATTACTTTCTGGGGATGCTGGGAGTCAGGTCTAGGCCTGGTCGTATCGGGCATACACCCTAGCCTGGAGCTGGGCCCCAGCCCAACACTGGCATTCTGGCAATAACGGTTACAGTTTCTCAAGTCAAGGGAGTCATTTTTCATTGACATTTTTTTGTTGCTAGTATGACCTCATTTGTCATGAGAAGTTGGCACTGATCAAAGTGTTGTTACTGAGCAGCTATTGAAGTGGGCAGCTGTGGGTGGGAGAGTGCCTTTCTGTGGGCACCTCCCCTTTCTTTCCATCTTCCTTGTGCCCCCTCAGCCTGCCTGCTTCTTGCTGGGTTAAGGAGTGAATTTATTGTGAGCATAGTGCGAGTCTTTGTGACCCTTGTTTCTAAGCAAGAAGGATTCTTGAAAAAGCTTCTCATCTGGGCTTGTGTGAGGGGATTTTTCTTATTTTGCTTCTTTGTTCATTACACCATGTGGGAAAAATTCAGTTTCTTACAGTTAATTATAAGCAAAGCACAATTCTTTCTTTTGTTTTTTTGAGATAGGGTCTTTACATGATTCAGGCTAGTCTTGAATTCCTTTTTTTTGCGGAACCAGGGATTGAACTCAGGCCCTTGCACTTGCCAGGGAAGCGCTTATTCTACTGGCCCTTAGTCTTGAATTCCTGACAGTCCTCCTGTCTCAGTCTCCCAAGTGCTGGGATTACAAGTGTGTGCCACCATGCCCAGTGTCACTTGGCTTTTGATTATTTCTTTTGCAATTTATTTTTGTAGTATTGGTTTGTTTTTGGTACTAGGAATCAAACTCAGGACCTTGCACCTGCCAAGCAGGTATTTGTGCCACTGAGCTATATTTCTGGTCCAATTTATTTTTTAACTGGGTTTTGAGCAGTAGAATATGCTGTTTGAGGAATAGAGAGGTAATTAGTATTTTGTTCTTTCCGTGCTGTGACTCAGTGGCCCTCTCCTCCATCTTCCCAGTCCCAAGAACAGAGGAGAGATGACCATATTCTCTGGCTCCTCATTCTCTGGCCCCTTTTGCCTGTCTTCCAATGCCAGGCTGTGGCAAGAGGATGAAGATGGGGCTAGCATTAAATCTCACCACCCCGTACCTGTCCTGGGAACACATTGAGGTGCATGCCAGGACACAGCATAAGACAGAATGCTCCTTAGGATATTTTTAGGTAAATTGAACGATTTAAATTTTATTTGCATTGCTGACTGGAATGGCAGTTTTAAGAAACCCTGATACTTGAATTTTGGTTCCATATACAGTTGACTACTTGAAATTTTGGATAAACTGTACATTGTTTTATTCTGGTTATACTTGAAGATTGGAACTAGGAATAAGTTTTTGGTAGAACTATCAGTGATAAAGATTAACATCTTAAAGCACAGTTCTAATAATTAGTAGAAACTTGAAATTGCACTTTCTTTTAATATAATTTTTATCTGTAGATTTTATATCACATGTAATGGGTGGTATATAATGTCTTTTTGTTTTATTCACATAGATAGAGCTAATTGACAGAGTTGATGACATCTATCGGAACACGTCGTGGGATAATGCGGGCTTTAAAGGTTATGGGATACAGATAGAGCAGGTATTTATCAAGAAATATGGTCTTACGTTACTTGGTGAAGTTATGTGACTTAAAATCAAACATTTATTGTTGACAGAAAAACAAAAGTTGTCAAATGACAGTAATTGTTCTCTGATACAAAGTGGGTGGTGTTTGTAAGTAAAACTAAATTTACTTAGTTCTAGATTTATGGAGTTTTCTAACCTAAAGTTTTTGTGGCCTGCTTATCTAAACCTGAAGTGTTCTTCTTTCTGATTATATACTTCAGTCTTTATTAAAATCCTTGGAGGTTGAGGATGTGGCTCTATGGCAGAATGTTTGCCTGGCATTCCTAAGACACTGGGTTTGATCCGTAGCACCAAAAAACAAACAGACAAAAAACCCAAAAAAATCCTAGCACATTGTTGGATCAGTACTAAGAAAATTTATGCATTTATATATACAGAACCACTAAAACTTTTCTAAATATCCTTCTGATTCATTGTGAGTGATTAATGTTATGCCCAGCAATGTTGTACTATTACCTTAGTTGTATCTCCTAGTAATAATTATTTGAAATTAAGTCTAGCTAAAGACAGTGGTCTAAAATTTACTTTGGAAAAACAGACATTTTGATAGGTAAACCACTGTATTGTGTGAATTATATCTTATTTTCTAGGCTTTTTGTTCTAAATATTTAGGTTGTGTAACAGAATTTGGAGATACAAATTTTTGTTTTCCTGCCAAGCATAGTGGCACATGCCTGTAATCCCAGCACTTAGGAGGCTGAGACAAGGAAAGTTGCTGAGAATTTGAGGTTAGCTTGGGCAGTGTAGTGAGTTTCAAGGCCATCCTGAACTGCTTGGCAAGACCCTGTCTCACTGCCCCCCATCCCTGCCCCCCAAAAAATAACAAAACATTTGAAATCATGCTTCTTGGGTTGGGGAGATAGCTCAGTGGTCCAAGTACCTGCCTGGCAAGTGTAAGGACCTGAGTTCTAACCCCAGTACCACATGCCATGCTGTAGCAAGATCCTGTTCCAAATAAATAAATAAATAAATAAATAAATGAATGATTTAAAAATTAAAAAAAAATTTGCTTCTTGCTAATAAGTGTTAAACTTTGATAGTGCTAAAGTAAGACTAAGAGAATGATTTTTCCCTTTTCCATTCTTTTTCTGTTTGTATTTTCTTTAAGTTACTATTTGAATAGGTAACATATACACAGTTCAAAAACCAGTGAAAAGTAAGTTTCTACAACTTCTGTTTGTTGTCAAACCAGGTCCTTTTTCCAGGAGCATATATATCACTAGTTCCATGTGTCTCTTCAGTGAACATGTGTGTGTGTGTATGTGTATGGTATGTGAGTCTGTGTTGGACACAGTGGCTGTTGCTGTACCCTTTGTTCTGTTTTCATTTCACAGTATGTTAGTGGTTCTTCCATGTTGGTAGACATAAAAAGTGATTGTGTTTGAAACAGCTACATCAAGTTCAAAGGGTTGGAGGGCCAATTTATATGTGTCATTGGGGACTTGCGACCAGTTGAAGAACATAAAAATAATATAGGGGATAAACACATCTTCTTTAACCCCAAAAGGTGGATCAAAGGGTTCCGCAGAGATAGTGCAGTGGTCTAAGTGCCTGCCTGGCAAGCGCAAGGACCAAGTTTGATCCCCTGGCACCGCATGCTGTGTGAGTTGCATAGTGAGACACTGTTCCAAATACATAAATTTAAATAAAGTTAAAATTCAGGGAATGTTAAAGATTCTTTAAGAAAAAAAAAAAAAAAAAAGGTGCATCAGAAGATCTGATGTGTGGCAACTCGTCTCTGAACTGTCTCAATATCCCCCATCCCCAACCCTCAGAAAGCTCACCTGTGGTGGCTGGGTAGACGGGGCTAGGCCAATTGTTGGCCCTCTTCTTTTCCAGACACCTTACTTGTCTTCTTAACAGGGTTCATATGAAGTAACCTGGAACATAGCTACAGGGAGAAGTCTCTCTCCTTTATAATCTTTCATCCCCTGTGGTAGCCAAGTGCTGGACATCTTAGTAGTTTTAAATTACCAGAGCTAATAATTGTTGGCTCTAATTATACTGTTTAAGCTTCATGCAACCCAAGTAGTAGTATCCCAATATAGAGGATATGAAAATTTAGTACATGTATGCCTAATTAATTCACTGACATATTTTCTCATGCCATATGTGTTTCAGTTTGTTTTAATCACTGAATATTAGAAATGAAGACTTTATACAAAACTGTGGTTTTGCAACACTTTCTGTAATGGTAAATGGTTTTTTTTTTTTTTTTAGACAGATAAATATTCAGTCTTACAACTTTTCTCGGAAATGTTCTTAGTTTATCATCTCTTTAAGTACAGATTCGCATTCTCAAATCTCCACAAGCAGTCAATCCTGGTGAAAGGCACTACAACATGGCAAAGAGCTATCCTGATGAAGAGAAGGATGCGTGGGACGTGAAGACACTGCTGGAGGTGGATTGGGTTCAGCGGGGGTTATTTCTGACACAGTGATGTGGGCTGGGTTGGAGGAGGTGGTGGGGAACCAAGAGCAGTCCACCCTGGCCCCAGGGACCTGTCCCCTTGGGCGGGGGATGGGATGGGATGGGGCCAAAAAAGCAAAAGTAAACGCAGTACAGCAGGATCTGAGCATCAGGGAGGCTGGCCGGTCTGGAAAGTGACACAGTCCTGCATGTAGTTTACATGTGGTGCTACTTGTGTAGGCCTTGAGTGCCTGTGTCTGGCAGGCATGGACTTGGACTCCTTGGGAATTCTGAGTTTCTGTTTTTATCCTGTTGATCAGTTCCAATAAACACTGTGTACCATGCCTGCCTTGCCTGAGGATGCTTCCGTGTGACCCTGTTGTCTTGGATTTGCACCCATTGTAGCTTTCTGTACCCCTGGTGATGCCATGTATGTTTGTTTTATCTTTTAATGTACTGGTCAGTGGATTCACATTATCACGCAGCAGCTAGGGGCATGTTTCTAAGGTGTGGGTTTTTTTTTTTGTGTGCATAGTCTCACTATGCAGCTCAGACTCGTATTGATCCTCCTGATTTCTACCTCCCTAGTGCTGGGATTACAGGCGTGCACCACCATGCCCTAACTCCATCGCAGGCTCAGGGTGCTCGGGTGGGGCCGACGAGGCATGAGGTGCCAGGGTCCCTGTATTTACCTAAGCAAGCACTTAGTCTCCTGAGCTATATTGCCAGCCCTTAGAGGCATGTTTCTTATCCCATTTTTTCCATGGGTTGGTACAGGCCTCAGTGGCTCATCTGGATTCTCTACTAGGATCTCCTCAGGCCAGAACCAAGTTTTCCAAGCTCACCTGGTGTAGAGGGCTATTACCAGTTCTGTGTCCTGATTGAGCCACATGTGTGCTGGGTCAGATTTGACCTGTCAGCTCCCACCCATCTGGAGCTGGAAGTCCAAAACCGAGATGTTGGTGGAGCTGGTTTCTGCTCAGGCTCCTCTCCTTGGCATGTAGATGCTGTCATTTCTCTGTGTCCTTCCTGGGTCTTCACTTAGTATATGTCTTGTCCTTGTGTCCTTGGAAGGATTTGGGAATGAGAGTCTACTCTATGACCTCGTTATAGCTTTATCACCTGATTCTGTCTCTGAGTATGTTTGACTTTGGAGTTACAGAGGGTTAGGACTTCACTCTGGATTCTGGGCTGCTGAAATGACCCATCCTTGGTTAGCCACGTACTAGTAATGGCAGAGATGTGGGACAGCTGAGCCCCGACCCTCTACACAATCCATCTCATACAGCCTGCGTCTGGCAGGACCCAGGGGAGCAGACTGTTGTTGCTGTGTCCTCCTGGCTTTGTGGACTGCCAGGAGGCTCCCAGATGCCACTTCATTCCCACAGAGCTGCCAGTGTCCTTCAGTAACTGCCTTCACTCCTCAGACAGCTCTCAACCTTTCATTTCATTTATTTATTTTTGGCTTTTTGAGATAGTCTTACTGTTAGTTCAGGCTGGCTTAAACTCACCATGCAGCCCAGGCTGCCCTTGAATTGGTGGCCTCCTGAGTGCTGAAATTACAGGTGTGCGCTACCATGCCTGGCTAACCTCTCATTTTAAAGTGTTTTCAAAAATCAAGTTTTTGTTTCATTGGTCATGTGGCTAATGGGCTCCATTTTGACAGGTTTGCCCACACATGACACACTTAGTTGCTTTACCCTTTCTCTTCTTCTATCTGGCCCTCATAGTCTTACCATCCTGGTGGTAGTTTTCAATGTGTGTATATGTATTTTCCTAATATGTATTCCTCCATCTCTGGCCTTTATTAAACTTACTTTGAGATAGGTCTTCACTAAGTCACTCACTTATTCAGGCTGGGCTTGAACTTAGAATCTTCCCAGAATGTGCCACCTAGCCAAGCTTGACATCAGGATTTTTAACTTGGAATCTGTGAAAATATATATATATATATATTGTGTGTGTGTGAGTTTATATTTAGAACTGTTTATATTATGAATCTTAAACATCCTCCCCATCCCAAATAAGTGAGCAAGGAAATACCTGTGCAGCCACAGCAGAGCCCTTGCTGCACTTGGAAGCAGCCTAGATGGCTGTGCTCGCCACTGTGGATCCAGCTCTCAGTCTTACGTAGCTGCTAATCACAAACTTTTTTTTTTTTAAAAGCAATTTAGCTTTGATATAGCCGAGGAAGCGTCAAAGGTCTGCCTGGCCCATCTTTTCACATACCAAGATTTTGACATGGGAACACTTGGACTGGCCTATGTGGGTTCTCCCAGAGCAAACAGCCATGGAGGGGTGTGTCCGAAGGGTAAGCTTGCCTGAGTTTGTGCGAATGGGATTTTAGAATGCTGGGGGAAGAGGGAGTGCCTTCTAGTATAAATTGTGTTTAATGAGCAATTTTTGCCTCTATTGTCTTTCGCTTTCAGCTTATTATAGTCCAGTTGGGAAAAAAAATATCTATTTGAATAGTGGTTTAACAAGTACAAAAAATTATGGAAAAACCATCCTTACAAAGGTACGTTCTCTGGTTTTTAAAAAGGATAGATTTGGAGTTTATTGTATTAGAACCTCAATTTGTATCTACTTGTCTAGGTATCTTTCAAAAAATTAGTATGTTGTATTTGTGATTTCTGCTGAAGTGAATGTTCTCTGTGAGAAATACGAGAATTAAAGAAAAGTTTGAGGAGGAAGTAGAGCAGCCCACAGCTTCCTTAGAGATACATGCTGGCTGCCCTCTCCTCACTGCCCTTCGGGAGCCCTGATCTGAACCCTGTTCTGAGTATGGCAGTGTGCTTGGCTATGCAGGGTGAACATGGCAGCTCAGCGCCTCAGCGGTGGGTGCTCCCCCCACTCCTGCTGCCCGACTGCCTTCAGGATTACAGCTCATCGTTGCCAGTTTTTGCACTGGTGGCCTTTGGTGGACCAACTTCTGTGCCCTCCTTGAGGTGCAAATCACGGATAGGTGAAGACTTGTGTCCAAGAGAGCCCTGGGCCACCTGCTGTGAGACCATTGTGTGAAAGATGAGGGGGGCTCACGTGTAGTGTGGACCTCCCACTGGTCATGGTGGGGAGTGGCCTGAGGGGACCTGATGCTGAAAGCTGAGGTGGTATTGTAGTGCACCACTGGATCCCCATGGCCAGCACAGGTGTGGCAGGCTGCAGGCCTCACAGGGCAGATTAGCATTCCCCTGTAGAGAGTAGCGGGTGCTTCTTTCCATTTTCACATGGATTATATAGTGTATAAGTTAGCTGCAGTTGCCTAGGAAGCTGAGGCAGGAGGATTGCATGAGGTAGGAGGCAGAGGCCAGCCTAGGCAATGTGGTGAAATCACCTTCCCACACAAGAGGTGTCAGCCATCTGCTAGATGCACGACACAGAGTGCTTTTGGAGTAGCTGTGAACTTCGGGTGATTCCAGCCACAGAAAGTGGAGTGGGAAGAGAATACTGAGCAGTCTGTGAGCATAATGTGACGTCCTTCTGGTGTGACAGTCTTTTAATGGTGCCATTCATGATGTGTTTTTCTCAGTCTTCCAGAATTTTCTCTCATAAAACACAGAGCTAAAAATAAATTTACTTTGAAATATTTATTTTTATAGTGTCAGACTTCTACAGTCTGTTGAAATTTTTTTCTAGAAAAATTAGAATGGTTAGAAATTACTTTTCATTACATTATTATTGGGTTTTGAGTGTTCCTGCTAAAAAAACTCAATTTCTTTTTCTGTCTTTTTTTTTTTTTTTTTGTATTTTTAGGGAAGGGTCTATGGGGTGTTCAGGGTCTCACCACTAGATTGGACTCGTAGTTTACAGCCTCCCAAGAGCTGTGATTACAGGCACGCACCACCATGCCCAATCTCAATTGCTGTCTCAGCGTGGGCTGGCATGGCAGACCTGGGGATTGAACCCCCATCCCTGGCACCTGCTTGCAGGTGTTTTAATCCACTGATCTATTTGGCTGACCCTAAAATTTGCAGTTTCTTCCACTGCCATTTTAATATAAATGTGGAAAATCTTCAGGACCATGGCTTTGAGAAGCCAGTAACCCCAAGAATTGGTAATCTTCTAGTGTAGAAAAATGGCTTGGAAATTGTTAATTTTTCATGTCTTATAGAAGGAGCAGCACTCCTTTCAGTGTGTTGTTCGTATTTTATTCAGATAAATACCAAGAAAATTAACTTGGCATCATCATGCTATGTTCAGATAGAAGTTTACTGTTCAAAGTACAGTTCACTGCTGGCTTCTCAGCACTGTTGTTAACAGTGCCGTCATTGCTTTGCATCTTCAGTATTGTTTCTTGACCTCTGGGTTTTTCTTTCTGTTGAGGGGCTTCTGGTTTTGATGGCCACGTGGGGTGGGGGTCTCATGGGTCCCTAGTTGCCGGGTTCCTCAGCACTGCACACCATATGGTTGAATCAGCCGGGGTGGTGCTTTGTTGTGGATGCCCCTAATACATCTTGTGAGTTCTGCCTTCTTTAACTGATTTGAGTTAATCTGTGTAAGAACCTGATAGTAGTAAATAGACTTCTACCCATTGTGTTTAATTCTGTTTTTGGAGATGAAGTCGTGGTCCAGTTGCACTCCTGTTATCTGGTTAAAGAGCCCAGTAGGCCACAGTTTCTCATACTTAATGTTCTTCCCGCATGAACCTTAAGGAAGCAGACCTGGTCACCACTCATGAACTGGGGCACAACTTTGGAGCGGAACATGATCCTGATGGCTTACCTGAATGCGCGCCAACCGAAGACCAGGGCGGAAAATATGTGATGTATCCCATTGCCGTGAGCGGGGACCATGAGAACAACAAGGTGTGCATGTGGAGCTTCATGTGTAGGGGGAGAGAGGAGTTGGTGCAGGAAGTATGCCTCTGCGTGGTGTCTCTCAGGCTGAAGTGCATGGGACAGAGGAGCACAAGTTGGTTACATGTTTTGGAGTGCAGCATGGTCCACCCAGACCTGGCTAGAGCTCTCATTCAGACCTGGCTAGAGCTCTCATTCAGACTTATTTTGAGACAGGATCTCGCTGTGTATTCCAAGCCGGCCTCAAACTCACTCTTACTGTGTAGTCCACCCTGGCATTGAACTCATGGTGATCTCTCCTGCCTCAGCCCTGACTGCTGAGATTACAGATGTGTACCACTGTGCATGACTCATTTAGATTGTTTATGAAGGTTGATCACATTAAATTTGGCCTGAAAAATTACTGATAGACTTGGGAATTCTAGTTTCATTGTATGCTGGTCCCAGGCTTTGTTAAAAATCAACTGTTGTTTCATTTATAATTTGCTACTTGTGTTAACTGTGCAGCACTTCACAAACTCCATGTTTTCATTAACTTCTGGAGTAAAACACATGGAGTTTGCCAAATTCTAATCCCTGGGTGGAAAAGTTCCTCTGTTGGCCTTGTGTACAGTTAGAGGTTCTGGGCTGCGCATAGCTAGGTCCTCTGCTGGAGCCTCTGTGTTCCTGGCATGCTGTGGTGCAGTGTGTGTGTGTAGCCTAAGCCCAGTCTATACCCAGCCGCCTCCGTGCTCTGTGCTCTGTGCTTTACGTCACATTTGGGCGACTGTGCTGCTGGGCAGCATGGAGAATGCCCTGCACCCACTTTCCCCACAAGTATTCAGTCCCTGGTTGTTTGAATTTGTGGGTGCAGGACCCACAGATGAGAGAAGTCTTCAGACTGTTCATGCTAAGGTTCTGCACGCTCAGGTGTTGATAGGTCCTGGTCATAGGTCAAGCTGCCTTCAGGTCTGGGAAGGGAGGTCACTGAGGGGCTCTCTGACTTCACCCACTTCCTGTCACTGCCCCTGTCATCTTTGATGTAGCCCCCATTTTGTTCACCTTCCTTGGGACAGTTGTCTTTTGCTTTCTTGCATCACACATTCTAGTTTTCCTCTGCTTGACCCCTGGTGGGTAGTAGGTTTTTCCTGTCCCTTTGTCGTCCTCTCCCACGCTGTCCGGAGTGGTATTTCCTGTGATTCTCAGGTTTCTTCTTGCTGGCAGATCTGTGTTGGACAAGTGCTGGCTAAGGGTCACCTTGCAGGTGGGAAGAGTTCTGGGGTGCTCTGCTCTGGCAGTGGCTACCAGCTGTCTGTGGCCCTCAAAGTTGAAACCCTTGCCAGAGACCAGGACCTGGAGTGTAGATTCCATTTTATTTAAATTGAGTAGTGTATGCTTGCGTTGGAAGGTGTAAGCAGGTGTTAACCTGGACCTTGCTGGGAAGATGGGCATGTGCTAAAGCTGATGTGTGGTGCTCTCTGCTGCTAAAGTTACTGGTGATCACCCACGTGTATCCCTGAGCCATTTCCAGGGGTGAAGTGAGTTCTGTGAACTGTAGCTGGGACCTGGAGCAGCTTGAGTATGTGTGTGGAGCCCGTGCAATAGCTGGTCCTTGTGGGAACTGGTGTGGGCACATGCATTCCTGCTCTTCTGATACCTATCATAGTGCAAATGTGTGACTAGGACGGAACCAGGTCCTCTGCTTCTCAGTCATGGGACAGGTAAGTATGTGGGGGGAGGTCCACAGTCTAGGGAGGCTGTCCTTTGCTGCCCTTTCCAGTTGCACATTCTCCTAGTGGAAGTCCCCAGTGGGCTGTAAAGGCTCATTGGGTCTTGCTGATTCTAGAGACCAGGAGAGCTTTTTTTTTTTTGTGGAGATGCTGGGCTTTCTCAGTGTAGAGCAGTTTTCTACCAGGTGGACCAGCCAAGAGAGCAGCCCAGGGTGAGAGTGAAGGATGAAAGAATGACTGTAATGAAAGGAACACGGGGTGCTGAGGGTTTGTCACCTCTTAGGTAGGTCGCAGAAGGAACAGGAGGTTGTGCAGTAAGGATGTAAGCAGAAGGGGGGTGTTCAGGGATGGGAAGGAGAACTCTGGCAGAATCTCACATGCTGGGAAGTAAATGCCACTGAAGTCCACCTACCAAAGCCCGATTGGGGAAGGCAGACGCTTATATGTCTTTATGTATAAGAACAGAAGATCTTCTGGCCAAGGTCAGCGTGTGTGTGTGTATTGTGAGGGGGTCTTTGTAAAAGGGGGTCCTTATTCTGGGAGCAGCCACATCATGCATCATCACCTGGGTTGAGAAGATCCTGCCCCAAGAGGGAACAGCTATTTCTCCCTAGGTCTTACCCCTTTTCCTAACAGTGTAGGCAGTCTTGAAAAGGGATGTAGTTGGAGAGCGGCTGCAGAGGTCAAAAGGCTGTTCTGACCTCAGTGTTGGAAAACTAGGGACATGGTCACTGTTGAGGAACCTGGTGAACTCTTACTGCCATAGACCTATGGGAACATTTAATGGCAGTTTGGTTTAAATGGACTGGAAGCAATATTGTGCCTGTTGCTGAGCTCTGACACTTAAAAGGTTTAACCGTGGGTAACGTATGAGCCAGCAAGCAGGGTGTGGTATGCCTGCCGGTGATCCCACACTCTGGGGGCCTACAACTTGTGGGTCACAAGTTCAAGCCTAATCTATGTGACTTAGCAAGTCAGTGAGAGCCTGTCTCAAAATGAACCAAGGGCCAGGATGGAGGGGCTCAGGCCCCCAAGCCCCATGCACATTGGGGCGGCTTAAAGGGCTGCTGGCCTTCTTGGACTGTCCTGTGTGGCAGGCGACAGGCAGTGCAGACTTGAATCTGGGGTGTTGTGGGCATTCTGTACTCTAGACAGCCCATCCCAGATGGAGTGCTGGGGAGACACCCCAACTACTGGCACCGCTTATCTCTGTGTGAAGACTTCTGGTCACAGCAGTGGGTTAGTGTCCTGCAGAGAGGTCCTCAATTCCATGTTGGTGGTCTTTGCTGGTGACTTGGCCACCCTGACATAGCTCTTGGTAGCCATTACATTAGAAACTGGGCCTTAGCTGAGGTGCAGCATATGTGATAGTTAATATTACATCCTTCTGAAGGTCATGACCTTTTTCTCTCCAGATGTTTTCTAACTGCAGTAAACAGTCTATCTATAAGACCATTGAGAGCAAATCCCAGGAGTGCTTCCAGGAGCGCAGCAACAAGGTGTGCGGCAACTCCCGGGTAGATGCAGGGGAAGAATGTGACCCTGGCATTATGTACCTTAACAACGATAGTTGCTGCAACAGTGACTGCACGCTGAAACCAGGTGTGCAGTGCAGGTGAGCACAGCCCAGGAGTGGGCGGGGCTGGTGTTGCAAGTGTCAGGCAGCTTCGACGTGCATGTGTGGGCAGCGGAAAGTGATAGGCTGGGAGGCATCTGCATCTGTGTGTGTCCATGTGCCCTGTGCAGTCTGCTCAGGAGGGTGGCGGTGGAGATGGCTGCGGGGCGCAGAGCAGCACTGCTTCCTGGCCCCTGGTGGCTTTCTTTCTCTCTCTCTCTCTCTCTCTCTTTTTTTTTTTTTTTTTTGCCCCCTCAGCCCACCCTGGGGCTGGGGCAGGAGCTGCATGTGGTGCTGGGAATTGAACTGTGGTCCCTGCACATTTACCTAAGTTTGCCTAAGCTTTAGACCACTGAGCTATCTCGCTGGCTCCTTTTTTTTATTTTTTAAAAAAATATTAGTACATAATTGCCATGCAATGGCACCTTGGTTCATGAATGCTTCTGTTTGCAAACAGTTGGATTCACAAATAGAAGCATTTGCCAACATTTTTGTTTGCACTCTCTGTGCCGGGTGATAGGCAGGACCACAGCTGTCTTTGCGCAGTTGTGTAGTACTCACCTGCACTCCGGGCACTTGCACCAGTGCAGGATACAGCTTTCTTCTCCCATCCCTTCCCACTTACAGAGACTTAGTCTACATTCCCTGTTTCTGAAATCTCATTTCTTCCCCTTCCTTTGATTTCCTTCCCATTTGAACAAGCCTTCTTGCTTCCCAGCATCTTAACCCCTTTTGCTCCTGGTTTACCCTCTGGGTTTTAAGAGAAATAAGGTAAGGTGATGTTTATTCTTGTGTGTCTTATTTCACTTAAAACAATGGTCTTGAGGTAAATCCATTACATTTATTTATTTTAGTTTTTTGAGATAAGGTCTCACCATGTAATTTAGGCTGGCCTTGAACTCACTATGTAGTCCAGATGGCCTCATACTCACAGCAGTCCTTCTACCTCTGGCTCCCCAGTGCTGGGGTTGTAGGCATTCGCCATGGTTCTTGGCTGTTTTCCCCTTTTAAATAATGCAAACTAAATAAATAATGCTGTGATTCCTTGAGGTGTTGACCACTGTATAGTGTGACCTGGGTGTTGCCTCTTCCATGTTAGGAAGAGGTGGGTGTAGCTGTGACTTTCTGGCTGTATGGCCTTAGTGACCCAGCCAGGGTCCCCTGTGATTGTGAGGTCCCTCTAACTTGCCAGGCTGTGCGGCACAAGGCTGTCCTTTACAGAGATTATCCCTGTCTGCTCCTCCACAGTGACAGGAACAGTCCATGTTGTAAGAACTGCCATTTCGAGACAGCCCAGAAGCGGTGCCAGGAAGCCATTAATGCGACCTGCAAGGGTGTGTCCTACTGCACAGGTATGACTTGCTGTTCCTTGGTGCCACTTGGGGAAAGTAGGGTTCCATTAAGCAGGTGTGCTTCACTCAGACAAGCGAAGAGCTCGAGGGCCCAGCTGGTTGCTGACAGTGTCCCCCCTCAGGGAACAGCAGCGAGTGCCCCCCACCTGGCAATGCAGAGGATGACACGGTGTGCTTGGATCTGGGCAAGTGCAAGGATGGGAAGTGCATCCCCTTCTGCGAGCGTGAGCAGCAGCTGGAGTCCTGTGCATGCAATGGTAAGGAGCATGTAGTGGGCCAGTCTGCCCTCCCTGTACCTTGCACCAGGCTCAGCCTGGCTGTGCTGCACACAGAGCCCACCAGGAGCAGGGGTGCAGGAGCCCCAGGACACACAAGTGGAGAGCCTGCCTGGCCCAGCCCATTGTCTCCCTCAGGCGTTGGGACAGATAAAAGAGGGGCCTGGTGCTCTGGTCCCTGAGCTCAGAGGCCAGGGACTGTGGTGGGAGGAGGGTCAGGTCTGGGGGCCGGTGGGTGGAGTATGCCTTCCTGGTCATACTGGGGGGCATGCCCAGTCACCATGGAATGCCTGCTGAGCGCATGATCCAGGCTGCCAGGGCCCTGGAGAACAAAGCCTGAGACGGTGACTTCCCAGACTCACCCAATAGAGAGTCTTCTACCTGGCTCCAGTCTGAAGACAGATGGGACTGGCAGCATCAGGCTCATGCTGGGCTGGTGGGCCACATCAGTCTGGAGCTTGAGGGGAGAGGTGAGCCCAGGGTAAAGCATTGGCTCATCATCTGTCACTGAGACCTTTCTGAGCATAGTTGTCTTGACCTAGTGTGCCCAGGCCCAAGGAGCTAGAACACTACCTACCTTTCAGGTTGCCTTGGTGGAGGGATGTGGCTGGTGGGTTTCTGTGTGATGGAGATCAAGCCAGGATCCTGCATAGCAAGGCAGCTGCGTCCCCAAAGCCACTGGACAGTGTGAACTTTGGAACTGAAACCGGAAGCTTGAGATTATTGGGGTCAGTGGGGGGCGGACTCCAGTGTGAGGCTGTGGCCATCCCTTTCAGAAACAGACAACTCATGCAAGGTGTGCTGCAGAGACCCTTCCGGCCGCTGTGTACCCTACGTTGATGCTGAGCAGAAGAATTTATTTTTGAGGAAAGGGAAGCCATGTACAGTAGGCTTCTGTGACATGAATGTGAGTATCAGTGCTGATGCAGAGCAACCAGGTGGTGTAGGTGGAGAGTGACTGGGGGGGGGGGTGCTGCAGGGCAGATGGCGCTAAGGTTGCTGGAGCTCTGGAACATAGCAGAGCTGGTGGCTGAGCCCCCAGAGTGGGTCCCAGTTGTTTGAGTTGTTCTGGGAGCGATGATGCAGATGCTGGCTCAGATATACTTCAGTCTAGATGCACCTGACTCAGACCGTGGCTCCCAGGACAGCATCGTTCACACCTGAGGATTAAGTTTCAGACAGGCTGCACAGGGAGTTGGGCTGTGACTTCCCCTGCCCACCACATTGAGTGATGGGCTTAGGAAAGGCCACACACAGGCACCTAACTGGGATTGTCTCTGGATGTGCACCAGCCTCCCATGCTGCACACGGGCTATGGTTTCAGTGATGCTCTCTCCATGCCCATTCTTTGCAGTCATACTGCTTGTGAATGCATTTTCTTCCATTCTGCTGGGTGTTTTCTCTTCAAGGGCAAATGTGAGAAACGAGTCCAGGATGTGATCGAGCGGTTCTGGGACTTCATTGACCAGCTGAGCATCAATACCTTTGGTAACTGTTTTCCACATGGGCTACTGGGAGCTGACCTTTGCTGGCCAATGCAGGAAAGCAGTCAGGGGCCCTGTGCTTGGCCTGCAGGAGGCAGTGCTGGGCCTCTTTCTCTGAGAGCTGTGCAGGCTGGGCTAAAACTGCTGCTTGACAGGTCTGACTTGGTAGCTTGGAGGCATGAATTTTTGTTTTAGTATTGGGAATCAAACACACAACCTCATGCTGGCCAGGCAGGCACTGTGCCACTGAGGTATGTCCCTAGTGGAGGTGTGACTTTTAGGAGGGAAAGAAATGAACATGGTTCTCTGTGTCAGAGGGAAGAGTTACTTAAAAGTGAGCCTACAGATGTAGGGACTGGGGGTTTGATCCCTGGCATGTCGTGTAGGTCCTACCCTCTGGTCACGCTGAGACAGCATCTGAGACTGGGCAAGGTGGTACGTGCCTCCCAACACTTGGGAGGCTGAAGACAGGAGGATCACTATGAGTCTGATCTACGTAGTGGGACCCTTTAGACCTGTACTAAATACATTTTCTTAAAAAAGTGAGCCTAAAGTTCTCTGGAAGCAAGATATAGTATATTCGAGAGCCTGGCATTTATAGAGCTTAGTTACGAAATACTGATATCTAAGTAACAGGACCATTGTTTGCTTACGTAGTGGTTGCCAGTGGAAGCTTTTTAGGCAGGCAGTTATGGGCAGACACTTCAGGGAGGGGAGTAGGTTTGGGGACCAGGGTGCTGGGTGGGGCTGAGCGTTCTCTGTACCTCCCCGCACTCAGCACAGGTGGGTGGAAATTTCAAGGAGCTGTATCAGCCCCATGCTCTTGATTGGGGCACTCACTGTTTGGCACTGTCCACAGGCAAGTTCTTAGCAGACAACATCGTGGGGTCAGTCCTGGTTTTCTCCTTGCTTTTCTGGATTCCCTTCAGCATTCTTGTCCATTGTGTGGTAAGTCCCCGCCTCTACATAGTCAAACCTTTGATTACAATTGTAACTCAAGCCGTCCGATCTCTGGAAAAGATAAAGGTGTTACCCTGGCAGCGTAGCTGAGGGTGTTTGGTGGGGTCTTCACTGAGTTCTTAGGAAGTTCATACTTGTAAGGACAGGAGATGGGTTCACTTTGGTGTGAGCAGCTTCTCAGACAAGAGCAATTCAGATTTTGTTAAGTGACTACAGAGCCATCCCCCAATGCCACATAGCTTCTTGGAAAACTACCAGCCATGCCCTTCCCTCCTCTTCCTTCAAGACAGCTGTGAGTCACACTGGACTTTGTCTTACATACTCCAACCAAGCATTTTGTGAATTTGAGGTCCCCACCCCTCCCTACCTGGCCCTTCCAAATCCATTTACGTCTGTGAGGGTGGAGAGCAGTGTGCTGTGGGATGAGACCCAGTGGTTTCTGAGTCCTTGGTCTCCAGCTCCTCCAGGGGTGGCTTCTCTGGGTGGCATTGGTCAGTGCGGCTGACCAATGATTGTTGGTGGGGCTGCAGCTGTTGGAAGTTCCTTTAGTCCAGCCAGTGTTTTAGCGACCTCAGATACATTTTGTTCCTCTTGGACCTAGAGGGCAGTGGCAGCCAGGCAGAAAGCCCAAGCCCTGTTCTAGCTTCTGCCTTGCCTGTTGGTACCCAACAGGCATCAGCCCCAGGCAACCGAGGCTGTCCAGGAGCAGGTTTCTGGGAAAGCTGAGCCGAGTGAGATTGTGGGTGGGGTTGGAGACCAGAGGTGAGACAGCAGTGCCTTGAAGCGCCTGCGTGTAGTGTGCTGATGCCCAGCCTCAGTGTGGCCCACTAGAAGTCCTCTGGCCTTCCCCCTGCCCACCTCTGCATGTGGATGCTCGCTGAATGTAGAGTGGACCCTTAGCCTGGAGAATAAGAAATGTACCCTGCCATCTCCTGTCATTGGGGGAGTCAAACCTGGAGCCTCTGTCCCATGCTGCACCCTGGCACCCGGAGGTTGGGTCATCCCCCTGGGCTTGGGCAGAGAGTACTCTTGTGTTGAGTGTGTACTGGACAAGCTGACCTCATCTGTCACTTCCTGCAGGATAAGAAGCTGGACAAACAGTACGAGTCTCTGTCCCTGTTTCACCCCAGTGTGAGTACAGTCCTGAGAGGCATTCTCAGGTGCACCCTGAGTCCTTGTTAGCCAGACCCTTCCTCTGAGACCCAGTGGGAGCCTAGCCTTTGCAGCTGAACCTGTGGACTCCCATACTGTCCCCGTCCCTTGGGACTGCCGATTCCCACAGTGTTTGAGATGTTCCCCATTACAGAGCTCATTCTGTGTGAGGTATTGTGGGGCCCCGAGCCACTTCTTAGGTTGTACAGGCTGCACTTGTGCCTGTGGCTGCGTCTCCATGCTGGGGCTCTGTCTTTTCTCTCTTGCCCTCACAGAACGTGGAAATGCTGAGCAGCATGGACTCAGCATCTGTGCGTATTGTCAAGCCCTTCCCGGCACCTCCGACCCCAGGCCGACTACAGCTACTGCCACCAGGCCCTGTGATGCCACCAGTGTCTGCAGCCCCCAAGCTGGAACACCAGAGGATGGACACCATCCAGGAGGACCCCAGCATGGACTCACATGCTGACGAGGACGGCCCGGACAAGGACCCTTTCCCGACTGGTGGCACAGCTTCCAAGTCCTTTGAGGACCTCACAGACCACCCAGCTACTCGGAGTGAGAAGGCTGCATCCTTCAGGCTGCAGCGGCAGAGCCGTGTAGACAGCAAGGAGACAGAGTGCTAGTGCAGGTCTGGCCACCAAGTGGGCAAGGTGCTTTGCAGCGCCCACCTCAGGAGGGCCACACGGACAGGAAGTGGCTCCCGACGTAGCCACCCCGTGGTCCTTAGCACTTTGAAGAGCCAAGGGACAGTCGGGTTCTTGTCTTTAGCAAGCTGTGGTGCAGAGAACATGTAGCAGGTCAGAGTCAAAATTTGTGCTTTGGTAAACATGACCCTTTCTACTGATGATGGCACTGGAGGACACTGTCACAGTCTGACTACCCTGGGCATTTAGCAGGAATTCTGGAAGACAACTGGAACTTTATCTTCAAAAGAAAGGAGACAAGCCTGTTTATGCATTACCTTCACCACCATACCGGTGTTACCCAGAGCTTTGCGGAGCCCAGAAGCCGGTCCTGTCTGGAGTTTGGGTCTGGCCCAGGGGATGCACACATGCTGTCCTTGAGGCCGGTTCTACCTGCCTGCTCTGGGTCTCTGTGCTTAGCTGTCTCCATCTCTTTTATTTCTTAGACTTTGAGTCATGATCTCACCGGATCACCCAGACTGGCTCCACATAGCTGAGATTACACCCTATCTTCTGCTCCTGTCTTTGCTACCACTAACACAAACTGATGCAGAGCATGCGTGAAGGGCTGTGGACAGGAGACAGCATCAGCCCCTCTGATCGCGATTTCCTGCTCCCAGGCACCAGGCTCCGCAGACCACACCGGAGGAACGGCAGTAAGCTTTCCTTCCAAGCACGGAAGTTGCATCCAGTCAAAACCAGGCAAGAAGCGCCACACCTGCAATGCACGCGCCTTCTCTGGAAACCCTTTGTTACACAGGTGTTGTTACACTAATATTGAACCTGGGCCCTGCGGTATTCGTGCTGTCCTGTCTAGACACAGCGTTCCTGTATTTTATTTTGAAAATCTGACAGGGTGAGTGGGGCAAATGTATGTGTGACAGATCTCGGAACAGAAAACCAATTTTTTATAAAATTGTGACTTTTTTAAAAAGAAAATTGTGCTTACCTTTTTTGCTATTTTAGCAAAAAAGCTGCTCTGGGTGTTCTGTAGCTGTGGTACTGGGAATACCTGTATCAGTTGATCAGTTTGAATCTCTCAACAGAACAGCTGCCCTGAGCAGCCACTGGAGCTTTTATTAATAGTGATAGGAATGTCAAGTGTAGGGTTTTTTGGGTACTGGGAATTGAACTTGGACCTCTTACTTGCCAGGCAGGCACTCTGCCAGTGAGCTAAACCCCCGGACCCTGTGAAGTGGTTTTGGTGCAGGCCCAAAAGCAAAGATTTAGCCTGAGGAAAGGTCCATCAGTCTCTCTCCTCTGCATGTGCCTGAGCAGGCGGACATCCCACAGATGGAGCAGCGGACACAGGGCCTCCCTCTCCCAGCAGGCTCCACTCGGGGTTTGCTGCAGCCACATCCTTCCAGTAGGGGAGCAGCAGGGGCAGGGCTGCTAACTTCTTCTCCACCAGGGGCCACAGGTGTGAAAACACGAAGTCATTCCCCTTTGGCGACAGATGGAGTCCATCAGACAGGTAGACAGAGAAGTCCTGGGAGGGACACAGACGGGGTGGTTTTGCTTGCTGGACTTGGGAGGGAACCCAGATCCTCCAAATGAAGCTCCAGCCCTGTCCTTTTCATTGAAGATGTGGTCTCTTAAGTCACCTGGTTGCTGAGGTGCCTGCCTCAGTCTCCCATGGTGCTGGGAGCACAGATACCACCTTGCCCAGCTGCCCTGGGGTTTTTCTAAATGCTAATATCCCAGTATGGCCCCTCAACAGAAGGCTCAGCCCCAGCCCAACCTGAGGACCAGGGGCCAGGTTTCCTCAGCCTGAGGCTTCACTCCACTCTGAGCAGGTTCCAGGTCCTCCACAGCCAAGACCAAGTCTGATAGCAGTATAGCACTTGGGGTGCCAGTGTCCAGGCAGGGAGCTGGCTGGGGACAGAGCCCTGGAGGGCTGCTATTCAGGGAGATGTGACAGACGCCCCCTCTCCCTATTTGCTGCCTGCCTGCCTGCCTGCATCTGGGGCGTTCATGGCCCTGAGGACAGTCTTTCACCCCCAAGCACAGCTAGAAGCATGCATGCCGGGACACAGGATGAGACCTTAGGGGTCTGCCACACATCACTTGGCACACCCCCAAGCCTACGGCCATCACTGTACCTAGCTGTGCCCACTGGGGTCCTGACCTGAGTGCTGCTGCTGTGTGAGTCTTGGGCAACCTAAGCATTGCCAGCAATACCATGAGTCACGTGAACACTATAAAAGCCACTGCCCTTGTCCTTGTGGGGGGAGGGGTGCTGTGTGCGTAGGAAGAGCCCTTGCTGAGACCCTGCACACCCGAGTTCCCCTACCTGGTTGTCTTCCTGCATCAGGGCCCACAGATCGAGGACATCAGTCCCATAGCTGCGGGCCACTTGGACACAGGCCCTGGCATATTCACCTGCCACTGAGTTCCGACGGTTCAGACTGTGACCTGCGGGCACAACAGCAGATAGTGCTGGTAAACCACAGCCCTGGGCAGTGCCTGATGTCCCCACATGCTGGCCCCAGCTGAGGTGTGGGTAGTGATGTGTGCCCCAGGCTGTGTGTGGGCACAGCTCAATTCGGGTGGGCTGGCTGCGGCAGCGGTGGGAAACAAAGGGTGCGGCAGTGGCAAGCAGTTGAGCGGGCCGTGGGAGAAAGGGTGAGGCACCACAGCCTGATGTGACCCACCTGACAGCCCACCGTGTGGTGCTGCCAGGCGGTGACAGTGGCTTTAAAGAGACAGCCTCAGATGATGTGATACAGCCCAGCTGCAGGTCAGAGAGGAGAGATGTCTTTGGCCGTGACAGCAGCCTGTGTTGCAGAGCCAGTAGCTTATCCAGTCACCTGCCTAGAGCTACAAGCATAGGACACCCGCAGGGACCTCCAGCCAGCCTGAGGGGCAAAGCTGAGTACGCAGCGCATCTGTGCAGAACAGATGACAGTAGACAGGCAGCAGTCTGGGAGGGCTGAGGTCACCCCAAATGTCACTCTACATCCAGCAGGTGCCGACACCTGTAGTTCCCTGGGTACCACAGAGCTCCGTGCACAGCCCTGGCTCAGGCCAGATAAATCCCTGTTTCTGTGTGGTTTTGGAGACAGGATCTCTGATGTAGCACAAGCTGGCCAGAAGTCCTGGCCATGGGAATGTGCTATACACCCCCACCCAGCTCAAGTCCCTTTTCTGGTCAGATGGAGGGGAGGCCATGTGTATGCCTGAGCTGAAAACCTAGGAACCCTAGGCCGCCTGGAGCCCCACGGGCCCTGTTGCACCCAGGATGTCACTTACCCTGGGCCAGGCACTGTTGCTCCCAGGCAGCCTCACACAGTGGGGGTGGGGTGATGAGGACCACACGGCTCTCCGCGACACCCACGGAGCGCAGGTAGCGCACCATGCAGCTCAGGTTGGCTGAAAACTCCTCCAGTGGCACGTGCTGTTGGGGGTTCTCATCTGCTGGGAACACAGGTGTCATGGGCTGCATGTATCTGTCCCTGGGACACTGAAGGCCGCTGACACATGAGACCCTTTGGCCTGGCCACTGGACACCCCTCCCCCCCTTGTTGCACTGTCCCATTGGTAAGGTGAGGACAGCTGACCTGAATAACCCACAAGTACAAGGGCCAGGCAGGAGACTTGCAAGTTTGAGCTCAGCCTGCACATTCTACCAAGATTTTTTCCCACAGCTTAAAAACAAAACAAGGGGGCTGGGGAGATGGCTCAGTGGAATAAGCGCTTCCCTGGCAAGCGCAGGGGCCTGAGTTCAATCCCTGGTTCTGTTAAAAAAAAAAAAAAAAAAAAAGGCAGGAGAATGCTGTGTGCTGGAGGCCAGCTGGGCTTCATATCCATAGCGAGTCCCGTCCAGGGGCCAGGTAGCTTCCTGGGGACCCTGGTTCTGCCGCCAGTGACAGAAGAGCCCCTCACTCCTACCAGGACCTGGCTGGGGATACTGCCTAAGGTTGCTTTCCCCAGTTCAGTCAAAAAGTGAATTCCTAATTTTAATTTGCTTTTTAGGGTCCAGTGGAAGCTCTTCGTATTTGTAAATGTATCAGTCATTCAATTCTTCCCTTGATGAAGTCTGTGTTCTTTTGCCTGTTTTTCTACTGGAGTTAATGCTTTCTTGTATTGATTGCCACACTAAAGTGATGTCCCTCTTTGGTCATGTTTCAAGTATTTTCCTTAATCAGTCATTTTTTTTTTAAAAGCATTTTGTTTTGATTTTTAAGATAGTCTCTTATAGTCCAGGATGGCCTTGAACTTGGGGCAATCCCACTTCAGCCTCCTAGGTGCTAGGACTGCAGGTATGTGTTCCTATGCCCAGCTTCTTTTTTAAGTTTTTGACATAATTTTTGTTTTTTGTTGTACAAGTACATGAACCTAACTACTGAGCTACACCGCCAGCCCCAATATAGGGTATTTTAACTATTTTTCTTTTTCATCTTTTTGAGACAGGGTTTTGCTACGCAGTCAAGGCTGGCCTTGAACTTGCAGCGATCCTCCTACCTCAGCCTCCTGAGTGCGGGGATCACAGGTGTGATTTTTAACTATTTCATAAATCAGTTTTCCCTTTGCAACTTCTTTCACTGCTTTAGAAGGTATCCAGGGCCAGGGAGATGGCTCAGTGGATTAAGCGCTTCCCTGGCAAGTGCAAGGGACTGAGTTCAATCCCTGGTTCCACCAAAAAAAAAAAAAAAAAGAAAGCATCCATCCATCCTTGCCCTTTGATAAAATTCACCTCATGTTTTTGTTTTCTTGTGGTTTTGGATTCAAAGTGAGAATTTTTTTCCAAGTGGTTAGCTTAGTTTCTACATGGGCATTGCATGTCTTTTCTCCCTGGGTGACTGGAATCCCTTGTCCATTCACTGTCCCTGTTCCTTCATGCCCTATCCCCCCTGCAGTGGCCTTCAGTGAGCCCAGGCCTAGTGGACCAAGCCACTCAGGGACAGGAACACAAACACACACACACAAACACACACAGGGAGAGGGGCTGGGCCAGGTGGTACACTTGTGATGCCACACCCTGGGAGGCTGAGGAGGGGGATCAGAGGTCCAAGCCCAGTCTGGGCACCCTAGCAAGACCCTGTCTGAATACAAAGGGGCCAGGGATACAGCTCAGTGCCAAGGCCTTGGGTTCTGTCCCCAGTACTGCGGAAAAATGGAGCGAGGCCTGCTGCTCAGACCCAATGACCTGACTCCAGGGGACCAGGTCAGCCAGCGACCTGGGGGAGCAGGGAGGCTGGGGATAAAGCACCCAGGGGAAAGTAATGCAGGGCCCACACCTGCCGGGGCTCAAGGGCAAGATGCAGGCTGTCGAGGTGCCCACCGTGACCTGGAGCGGAGACTGCAAGGACATGCCTCACCTCTCAGGGAGCTGTCATTGGCGCCGAAGAAAATTGTCACCACTGCAGGGCTGTCCCCTCTGTCCCCATTCCCCACCAGTCTTGGAAGTATGATTTTGGCCCAGCGGGTGTTGTAACCTGAAAATCCGCGATTCAGAACGTCGCATCTTCTGCAATGAGAATTGTTCGCAGATAGAGCAGGAGCACAGGAACAACGCCATTGTGGCAATGTCTCTCCATAATGCCCTGTGTCACCACACCATTCTGTCCCCAAAGGAATCCGACTTTGACTCTTTCCTGAAGCCGAACCGCACGGCCAGGTCCAGAAGAGCACCTTGGAGGCGAGCACGGGCTCCACCTGGTGGTCGCCAGGCCACCGCCCCTGCGCGTCGCAACTCAACCAGAGTCCCGCCCTTCCTCCCTCACCTGCGGCCGGCTGGGGGAGGCCAACTCGGATCCAGAGGGAAGCTACGTGGGGTCCCCTTTCCTTCCCTGACAAAAGGCGGCTCACCTGACCAGCCTGTCAGCCAGCGCTGCGCCCCAGCCACCCTGCTGGAAAGAAAACTGAAGAAAGGAGCCGTCACCTCTCGCGGCTCGCCACAGCGCCCCGCCCCAGGCGCCCCGCCTCCCCCGCTGCCCTGCGCGGCGCAGGGAGCTCCAGGAGTAGAAGCTTTGCCTTCTTCCCAGACCAGACTGAAGGCACTAGCAGGAAGCGCAGTGCACCCCGCTAAGCCCCGCTACAGAAGGATGGCAAATTGGAGGCCAGCCCGGGCAGCTTGCAGGACTCTGTCTCAAGATGAAAGACTAGGTTCACTGCATCGAAGCAGAGCACCAAAAATTAAAAACAAAATATTCCACTGTGTGCACATTAACTGTTAAAATGAAGTCGAAGCTACACCTTTCCATAACTGACAAAAATAAGAACCATCGCTTCATTAACTACATAACACAGTGTAAACATTTTCCAACACTCTTCACATGGACCATTAAGAGCTCCTACTGCTCATGTTTAAAAATAATGTTGCTGGGGCCAGGGAGATAGCTCAGTAGAATAAACGCTTGCCTGGCAAGTGCAAGGGCCTGAGTTCAATCCCCAGTTACGCCATAAATAAATAAATAAAGTTGCATGTGCAAAATATCTGGTTTAGAATGTATGCCTGGACGTTACAAAAGAAAACTACAGGGAAGCAACCTTTTTTTTTTTTTTTTTTTAAGTCCAGTTGGTGAAAAGAGCCCCCCCCCCCCTTTTTTTTTTTCAGTACTGGGGGTTTACTCCAGGGCCTTCCTTCACAGTGAACTACAGCTCTTTAACATTTTCAGACAGGGTCTCCCTAAATTGCCCAAACTGGGTTCAAAGTTGCAATCCTCCTGTTTTAGCCTCCAGACTACTGGGACTACAGGTGTGCGCCACCGCCTCGGCTTCCACTTGATTCTTGAATGCGTTTTATTTTCAAGACCATCTATCATCGCCCAGCTAATTCAGTGTTCTCTGTATAGAACCGGCTGCCCGCAAACAGAAGCCCAGGCAGCACGCGGTGCGCAGCGCCCCCTGCCGGCCAGCGTGGGGCCCAGGGCGGTTTGGCCGGGATTACGCGACCCGGCGCCCAGGGTGGGCAGGAGGGGGCAAAGGCTTCCGGGTACCTGAGTGATGGAGTCGCCTAAGAGCAACACGCGAGGCCACAGCAACGGTATCCCACCGGCCACGCGCACAGGCTGCGCCATCCCGCAGCTCCAGCTGGGCGCAGACCGGATATCCGGTCGGCGGGTTGAGGCGCCTGCGCAGTGTGGCACCCGGCCGGGAGGCTGCCGGAGCGGCAAGGTCTCGTTTCTGGACTAGTAGGCGCACAGCCTCTAGCATTCTCTCAGAAGTATTCGAGATCTTCATAGAAAGCCACATGTGCCACACGTGTAATCCCTGCACGTGGGAGGACCCTTTCCGAGGCAGGATGAGCCTATCCTGGGCAGCTTAGAGAGCTTGAGGGACCCTGACTTTAAAAAGAAGGGCTGGGGAGGGGCCTCAGTGCGAAGGCCGCGGGCCAAATACCCAGGACAGGAAAGTATGCAGAAGCTGGCCTCCACTCGCCCCTTCCTTGAAGCTGCCCTTTGCCTGCTGTCGGCCAGGCTGGCACACTTCTCTTCCCAGTGACAACTTTTTCCTGTAAATCTCTGCCTCAGTCCTGATTTCCATTAGCACTTAAGTGGGCGCCCATCCCAGCCAGTGGCCAGCATCCCTGGTCCACGGGGATGGGGCCAGAGCCAAGCTGTTGGAACCCAGATAGGACTTCCGGGACCCCACTCATGGGAGGCAGCCACATGGGAACCAGGGAGGAGTGTCTCACATGGCTGGATGCAAAAGCCGCGGTGGGGACAAGGGACAAAGTCCTGGCCCTTTGGCCTGTTCCTCTTTCAAAACATGATTGCTCTTCCTAAGACAGATGGCACAGCAGGTGTTAGTGAAACTGCATTTTTCCCTTGGGCAACAGTGACTGGCAATGTCATCTTTCAAGCCCTGGTTCAGCCCTCAGTGCCACACGAAGGGCAGGCAGCACTGGCCACCTGACCCACGTCCCTCGCGGACCTCAGCACCCAGGTTCCAGCAGAGCTGTGTAGGGCAGGACTGGCCCTCCTCGCCTTGATGTCTGTGTTAGTTGATACATTGTGTCAACTTGGCTGAATCAGCTCCTGCAGCGCCAGGGCCTGCCTGCAGGTGGGCAGGGCCCAGGGACTGAGAAAGGCAGGAAGCGGCCCTGCCTAAGTTCCTGCTGCCCCACCCCGCTTTCGTGGAGAAGTTAGTCTTTGGAGAAGCCACTTTGGAGCTCTGATCTTCACTGTGGAGCGCTGGTCTTTGCAGTCAGCGCAGAGGGAAGAGAGAGGCTTGATGGACGCCGCAGCTGCTGCTCCTCCTCTGCTCTTCATTGTTTTCTGCTGCATGAACTGCTGTGGTCTGCCTTGGAGCCAGCGGAATATGGACTGAACCCTCCAGTAACTGTGAGCTAAATAAACCTTTCCTTCCCTCATTTTGAATGTCGGGTATTTGTCCCAGCAATGAGTAAAAAGTAACTAAGACAATGACCCTCCCAGAAGGTCCCTCCTGACCTATGAAGCCATGCCAGGGCTGAGACAAATGACCAGTAGGCCGAGCCCCCAAGCAGCACTCTGGCAACACAGTTCTTTCTCAGACAGGGTCTCAATATGTGGTCCATACTATCTTTGAACTGTGTAGCCCCGGTTGACCTTCATCTTGGGGTAATCCTCCTGCCTCAGCCTCCTGAGTGCTGGGATGACAGATATGGGTCCCCAAGCCTTGCTATAACTCACACCTCTAATTTCCAACCTCACTGAAGCAACACCCATGCTGGCAGTGGCATGTGGGATGACCAAGGTATTGGTGGAGTCAAAATGGCTGTGGCCAGGTCAGGCAACTGCTGTGAAGCAGGACAGTCTTGGGGCTCAAGTCTGACCCTTGGGCCCTGGGAGGGCTGGGGCTCACTAGAACTCTCACTCGTCCCACTGGTTCCACCTCCTGCAGGCACCTCAAGGTCTGGAACATGTGCAGGAGATTCCTGCCAAGGACCTGATGGTGACAGTGACAAGGCCACCTGGGACTCAAGCCATGGGGGTGGGGGTGGGGCAGAGACCAGGTGAGGTCAGGTCATACATCGCAGGGGCAGCCACTGGGGCACTCGTGTGTCCAACAGTTACGGAGCCTGGAACTTAATGGACTGTCACCTTAATGGCACTGGGGACTGAACTCAGAGCTTCATCCTGAGCTACGCTGCCAGCTGCCTGGACGGTCTAAATGACCCAGGACTCAGACTTGGCATCCTCCTGCCTCTGCCTTCTGTAGTGTATGTGCCACAACCAGCTGTAATTTAATATTTTAAAATTTATCATAAAACCACGTGACATTCGAAAAAGCTGTCCCTAGATTTTTGGCATAGGCCACAGAAGGCCATAATGTAGGCTGTTTTACAAAAGTAGCTATTTTGGTCTAGGGACATAGCTCAGTGGCAAAAGTGCCAGCCTGGCAAGAGGGAGGGGATAGCAAAAACAGCAGGTGCTATTAAGGCCAGGTAGCCCTGTATCAGCACCTGTGCTGGGACTTGGTGTCCCCACCAAGTGAGACAAGTCAGCTAAATGCCCAGAAAAACTTGGCTGTCACCTGCATACATGACAGCTGTGACACTTGGTACCTCCTCCGCTGCACGTGTGGCGTCTGACCCTCACCAAATTCCCAATTTCTGCATTTGTTAAATGGTGTGTGTGCAAGAGGGGGCTCCAGAGGGAAGACAGGAAGCACTCCCCACTCTGAAGTGAAAGCCTCAAGCTCTGCGCTAAAATCCCAGCTATGGAAACATGAATTATCAGCACAGTAAGATGAACTGACTCAGCTGCTGTGAGCAAATCCTTTGGAGGTACTGAGGACAGAACCCTGGGCCTTTGCATTGAGCCACATCTCCAGTCCTTTCCATTTTTTATTTTGAGACATGGTCTCGCTAAGTTGGGGGCGCTGGGTTGGAACTTGCAGTCCTCCTGTCTCAGGCTCCCCAGGAGCTGGGATTGCAGGTGTGGCTATGAGGCCGGGCATCAGCCCATGGCAAAAGACTTCCGTGGCAGCAGCACCAATAAATGTGGAGACGGGGGGTGGTTCTGCAGCAGTGGCTCTGGGGCAAGGCCCGGGTCTGTGCCCAGGCTCAGTGCACTGGCGTGAGTGCGTCATAGAGCCGCTGTGCTGCCAGCTCTACCATCTCCCGGAGCGACTCGTCATCCTCGCTGCCCTCCTCGCACTCCACACTCTGCAAGGCAGTGCACAGTGTTGCTGTCATGTCACTTTAGTGGCGCGGGGCGGGGGGGGGTTGTGCACCCTGGGGACTTGGTACTGGGCAGTAGTGCCCTAGCCTGGCCTCCCTGTGAAGGTGGGGGTCAGGTGCCTGGAGTGCCCCAACAGCTCCATAAGGGTCGGGATCAGGGACGGGGGCTTGCGTGATGGACAGGAGGCCTAGCAACCATGTCTACTTCACAGCCCCCCTTTTGATTCTTTCTTGGGGGGTGTTTTGAGACAGTCTCACAGTGTAGCTCAGGATGGCCTGGAACCAGCAGAGATGCCTCCTGGAGTGCTGGAATGAAGGGTGGGCGCCACTGCAGGCAAGGCTTCACTTCCTAAGGCCTTGGCTATGTCTCCCCTGCAGGAAGAAGCTCAGAATACACATACACCTCAATCCCAGCACTCAGGAGGCTGAGAAATCGGGCCAGCTGCAGTGAGCGTGCCAGTCTCCGGCTCTTTGGGGCACATAGTCTGACTCAGCTCCTGAAATCCTGCTGCAGTGTCTGGCTTTGGGAGCCAGGAGTGGGCCCCACCCAGAAGCCAGGGTTTGGACTCTGTGGGCTTGGGCTGTCCGGGGTCACTCGCTGGGGAACCAGGTGCCCTTTGGTGATGAGCAGGGCACTTGGGCGCCTTTGCATGTAACACACCCAGGTGAGGAGGCGGTGTAGTGAAGGGCTAAACTTGGGTCAGGGGCTGTCTTGTGTCCCCAGTCATCTCTGGTGCTTATAGCCCATCAGAGAACATACCCGTGTCTCCAAATTCACGTTGGCAGTCTTCCCGTCCACAGTGACGCTGAGGACAGAGCCATCTTTTGTGCTCACGCAGTCCTCTCCAAATATGTCCCTGTAAGGGAGCCAAGATGCATCAGTCCTGCTCTTGCCGCACCAAGTGGAAAGAGAAAGCGCAGCCCAGGGCCACCTCCTGCGTTACCCACCACTCAGTGAGTTGCTACGGTGCCCAGGCTGGGCTGGGATTTCTAATCCTCCTGCCTCAGTCTCCCAAGTACTGGCCTGGGTGTGGCAGTGAGTGCCTGTAATTCCCAGCACTCAGGAGGCTGAGGTAGGGGGAGGATTGGAAACTGGAGTCTCACTGGTGCAGTGCAGTGAGACTCTCTCAAAATCTGAAAAGGGACAGGATGTGGTTTGGTACTGCTTGGGAGGAGCCGCGGCCTGGGCCCCAGGGCTCTGGGGGGACCCGCTCCGGAGGTGATTTCCCCCACAGACACTGCACTCACCCACTGAGGACTTGGGGGTGGGGGGAAAGGACTTAGCGCTGTGCTTAGCCAGTACTGAGGTCTGGTTAGTAGGCACAGACTTCCTGTGCACAGGGGTCGATGAGGAACTTGTTCTGGAAGAATTCATGTCTCAGAAGCACACATGTAAAGGGTTCTCCAGGCACAGGGGTCCTGGTGACTGCAGCCAGGACTGTACCAGCCACTGGGCCACTGTCCTTGCAGGCAGCTCCAGTGCTGGGTGGGAAGGCAAGAGCCACCTGCACTTCCCCGATGGAACCAGATGCCCACCAGACACGGTGGCACATGCCTGTGATCCCAGCACTGAGGCTGAGGCACAAAGATGGAGACTTCAGGCCCAGCCTGGACAGCTCAGTGACGCAACAGAGTCCTGTGTGAGGGAACGGAAAGGGCGGGCGGCACTCACTGCAGCATGGTCTCCAGGCGCTTGCTGTACACGTGTGTCTCCAGCTTCTTAGCCACCTTCGGAGCCGCGCCTGCAGAGAGAGGCAGAGACCAGGGTCCCAGGTGATGCGACACGATGGAGCACATACTCGTGCACCTGTCTGTGAAGGCCCTACTCCAATCTTACTAAAAACCCCCTTTTCTTTTTTTTTTTTTAAACAGAGCCTCTGTATGTAGCCCAGACAGGTCTTGAACTCACAGTGATCCTCCTGCCTCAGCCATCTG